GATTGAGTGCATTTTGTTTGGTTTGTTTCAGATGATGCTATGAAGACCACCAGAGATGACTGATGTGGAACCTGTTGTCTCTGACTTTGCAGCCACGGGCAGGACTGGCCGGCGGAATGCATTGCCAGATATTCTAGGTTCCACGGCTGGTCCTGGAGCTGCCGACCTACCTGATAAACTAGCTGAGCTTTCAGTAGGAGGTACTGTATACTGTCTTTTGTTCAGCTGGGTTTATTTTATGTCCATTAGTCTCGATGTATACAGTTTGACAATAATCAAAAGTATGTGCTTGCAAGGCCAGCATCATTCATGACTAGGCAAAATATGGGAAAAATAAATGAAAATAATGCAAAAGAATAAAAAGTAAAGAAAACAACCCTCCTAGCTCATGAGGATAGGATTTCACTGGATATCAGCAGCAGAAATAATACTTTTATTCAGCAACGATGTATTAAATTGATAGAAAGTGACAGTAAAGACATTTATAATGTTACAAAAGATTTTTGTTTCAAATAAACGCTGGTCTTATTAACTTTCTGTTTATCAAATAATTAATGTATCACACAAAAACATTGTATCACAGTTTCCACAAAAATGTTAAAATTATATTCAACTATGTTCAAATAGAAAACAGGTATTTTAAATAGTTATAATATTTTACAATATTAATGCTAATATAAATGCAGCCTTGGTGAGCATATGGACTGAAACTTTGTTTGAACAGTAAATGTATAATGTGAAATGATAATAATATATAGACTTTTGGTGAATATGGGCAAGGCAAGTTTATTTATATCACACATTTTAAATACTATAATTTAAAATTTACTTTACAAAGGCATAATGAAGAGAGAAAATATTAATAAAAAATCTAAAATGATTTAAGCAATAATAAGCAATACACAATAAGAAAAATAATAAGAAATACACAATGAGCAAACAATATTTAATAAAAGTATGCATAAAAGCACATAACCTGAATGAAATACTGCAGTGTGATTAAACTGCATACAGTACATATGCAAGGGAATCATGCAATTAACAGGGCTTGAAACTAGTTCAGTGCATAAGTTAATAGGCTAATTTAATCTGTGCAGTGTACCTCTGATGTCTAAAACGGGCCATGATGTTGGCAGAGTCTGCAAGACTAAGCTGTGATTGACAAAGGCACCTCTCTTTAAAACGTGCTTTTCTACAGAGAAAAGAGCACTCTCTCATCAAATATACACTTTCCTCAATGCTTAAGTGCTTTTGTGTGATGTCATTAGGGGGTCGGCTGTAAGACTAACTGTTAGACTGCCACCGGTTGCTGTCAGAATGTCATTCCTTAGTGGTAGCTGGTGAAAACCTGTGATTTTCAAAGACTAATTTTGATACATGTTCAGTACAATTAATATAATACGAAAAACTTCAAAAAGAAGGACATCAGTGATTTAACCCTTGAGGCAATGACCTTGATTCAACGCACACACTTCACACCTTCTTTTGATGATTAGATCATGACTGAACCTTCCTGTGCATCAATAACTGCCTGCAGACAAACACTTTTAATCTGCTCTGTGTTACCCATAAGCCTCAAAGGCATCACGTGTGATCCCTGCAAATGATGTTCCATGTGCAGTTTGTGATGACGCCGGAGATTCTCAGCAGTGTTGAATCTGCTGCCTATTCCACATCATACATTATTTATCCTGTTTTAAATAATAAACAGAATACTGTTTCAGAGTCAGTGTCCCCAAAACTGAAAATCATGTCTACTCACCCTCTTGTCGTTCCAATCCAAACCTATATGACTTTCTTTGGCATGATAACAATGTGTTGTAACTGGGTCCTGCTGAATAATGAACTACCTCTTCTGCCATCTAGTGGCCAATTTTTATAACTGTCATGCAAAATGGAATTGTCTTTTATTACAAAGAACAGTAATCAATGAGTTTTTAGCCAAGTTCAAAGGGTGAAGTCTAACTTTCATTTGAAATAAAATTGAACCGTGATTAATACTGTGATTTAAAATATCACCATAAAACTATCATAAAATTAGTTTATACCAGGGTTTTTCTTGGACTGTATATATTGTTTCTTTCTTTGCGTGATCATTTGGGCGCATTATGCAAATATTTCCACATGGTGATGTAGATATGTGGGGGCGTGTTAGAATGAGCCGTTTTAGGGGGGCGTGGCAGAGTCTTAACTTTGATAAAGAATATCTCTTTGGTTTTGAGACTTTAGTCTTTGCAACTTCAGGGATCTTATCTATGCACAATCAGCTTGTAACACTCCAAAGAGAAAGGAAAACTTGAAATCGCATCATATGACCCCTTTAAAAGTACTTTTATGGTGGCTAGAAAAATACAGAGCCAATATAGACATTGGATATTCTTTAGTCATCAAGAAGTTTTAAAACCCCTGGTTTATACAACTTGTACACTATTCCAAATCTTCTAAAGCTGTATGGTAGATTTGTGTGAGGAAAAGACTCAAATGTCCCTTTTTCTTCTCAATTAGAGCTTTCAAATCTCATTTACAAAAAAAAATGGTGCTATTAGATCACAACAGGTTTGACTATACTAATGCCAAATGCCATTGGTTCTGGCATGTCATGTGATCAACTGACATAGAAAACATAGCCAAAAATTAGATTAGAGCGCTACAGGGAAGACTGTCAGTGAAAAACTACATACATTTTAAATATTCTGAAACCATAAGATACATTTATGTGAAGTATAGAGCAACATTTATTACATAGTTACTTTTAAGATTTATTTATTTATTTATTTATTTTTGCAGCTTGACAGCATAAATCACCATCCTCTTTCCTTGTATGAATTTCCCTTGAATTTGCCTAATGTTGCTCTGCTAATGTTGCTCCTTGTGATTATTTGCTTGTGTTTGAATTGCTTTGGATGAACATGTCTGCTTAAAGAACAAATTCACATAGAATATTGCATTTAATGAGTATTTTTGGCCTCGACGCAGATGATGGCGAACAGGGCGGAGAGAGCTCATCCTCGTCCGACCCACCTAAGGAAACCACAGAGGGGGCAAAGACAGAGGGCTCATAACTCGACACCAACGCCGCAGTGATCTGACCTCATGAGAGACTCACACATGACCTGCCTCTACTCTTGTCCCATTGACCAAACAACTGTTACACTCTGTGCTATGCAACATCAAGACCACCTATGATTAGCATTCGGATGTGGGCCAGCGGAAAACAGCTCATTCCTTTTATAGGAATTCATCTGAAATTGTGTTTTTCAAATATCAACGTTTGTTCATTTCATACCTCGATGACTTTGTCAAATTTGACTTTTTCCCCTAAAGACTCACTGTCATGATTTTCCTAACGACCGGCTGTTTTGTGTGTCTTATGAAAACAGATGTGACCTGCTTTCTCATTTTAAAAAGGGACATTTTGTTTAATTTTAAGACTTTCCATAATAGCATTCTTCTCTGAATGTTGACATTTAGTGGCAAAAATGTCTCTTTTTGCACAAAAAAGTAAATACATTCCATTTGGTGATGTAAGTAAAGTTTTTTATCTTATGATATTTGTCTGTCCTTGTACAACATCACATCATCTGTGTTTTGTATTGCAAAGATATGCATTGTTAATATTCGACCCAAAAGATAAGAAATAGTGCTGAATAACATGACATATGATATTTTCTTCTTGTAAATACAGAATTGTACATTATATTTGCTAGTTTTGTTTAAAAGCCTTTTGTTTTGTGTGTAACTGTTGTCAGTGCTGCCCCGCGTGAGCTCAAATTGGATTGTTAGCTGATGTATTGCTGCAAACATCAGTGGTCATGTCATTCGGACGTCATCTTAAGTGCTTGTCTCAGATATTTCTTTGCTGTTGTTGATGGCAATGAAAAAATATGATTGTGGAGACTTCTTGTTCTTCCTCTCTTTCATCTTTTCCTCATGCTTCCATCAGAGAATGACATTTTATTTTAGTTTAGTTTAGTTTTTTACCTGGCCATTAATCTTGTCATTTTGTCTGTGGTTATAGCTACATATAAAATGCCATTATGCTATGTTTAAAAATTACAATAAATCCTGTGCTTAGTTTTGGTAGTTTTAATTTTTGGACTGTGGACCAGTTGTGGTAATTTATGTAACCAGCAGAGGACACCAAAGGTATCTTTTATAATATGAGGGTACAAAAAATGTCACTATCTTGTAGTAGATTAATTTGTAATATATATGTATACATATACATATATATGTATCTATGTATATTATTTTATTGTATTTATTTGTTTGTTTATTTTTCAAAACAAAATACGTTTATAAAATAGAACTATTTACCTAGAAAATTATTTTATATAGGTTATAAATTGTGTGTGTGTGCAATATTTATATATATATATATATATATATATATATA